GCATCCTGCCTCCATGTAGCTGGGTAGTGACAATGGGCAATAGCTGGTTCAAATTTAACCGCACACAGCTGGGGGTGCAGGGAAGCAGCACACAGGGCTGCTTGAAACTCTCAGTGACCCTTTCACCTTGTTCACCAAGAAGGGTGCTTGTACTATGTGTCCCCTAACATCAGTGTTGTATATTTGGATGTCTATATGGATATGGGGAAAACAGTGGATGTGATATATCTTGACTTGCAACCTCAGCAAGTTCCCAGATGACACTAAGCCGGGGGGAGAGGTAGATACGCTGGAGGGTAGGGATAGGGACCAGAGTGACCTAGACAAATGGGAGGATTGGGCCAAAAGAAATCTGATGAGGTTCCACAAGGACAAGTGCAGAGTCCTGCACTTAGGATGGAAGAATCCTGTGCACCGCTACAGGCTGGGGACTCAGTACCAATGTGGACACAAGAACAGATGGATATAAACTGGCCATCAGGAAGTTTAGACTTGAAATTAGATGAAGGTTTCTAACCATCAGAGGAGTGAAGTTCTGGAACAGCCTTCCAAGGGAAGCAGTGGGGGGCAAAAGACCTATATGGCTTCAAGTTTAAACTCGATAAGTTTATGGAGGAGATAGTATGATGGGATAACATGATTTTGGCAATTAATTGATCTTTAACTATTCATGGTATATAGGCCCAGTGGCCTGTGATGGGATGTTAGATGGGGTGGGATCTGAGTTACTACAGAGAATTCTTTCCTGGGTATCTGGCTGATGAATCTTGCCCACATGCTCAGGGTTCAGCTGATCGCCATATTTGGGGTCGGGAAGGAATTTTCCTCCAGGGCAGATTGGAAGAGGCCCTGGGGGTTTTCGCCTTCCTCTGCAGCCTAGGGCACAGGTCACTTGCTGGAGAATTCTCTGCACATTGAAGTCTTTAAACCATGATTTGAGGACTTCAATAGCTCAGACATAGGTGAGAGGTTTATTGCAGGAGTGGGTGGGTGAGATTCTGTGGCCTGCGTTGTGCAGGAGGTCAGATTAGATGATCATAACGGTCCTTTCTGACCTTAGTATCTATGAGTCTATGAGACCTGGGGATTACCGTGGACGAAAAGCTGGATATGAGTCAACAGTGTGCCCTTGTTGCCAAGAAGCCAATGACCTATTGGGCTGCATTAGTAGGAGCATTGCCAGCAGATCGAGGGAAGTGACTATTCCCCTCTATTCGGCACTGGTGAGGCCACATCTGGAGTACTGTGTCAAGTTTTGGGGCCCCCACTACAGAAGGGATGTGGACAAATTGGAGAGAGTCCAGCAGAGGGCAACGAAAATGATCAGGGGACTGGGGCACATGATGTATGAGTATCAGTGGTGGCAGATGACAGAACAAGGAGCAGTGGTCCCAAGTTGCAGTGGGGGAGGTCTAAGTTGGATATTAGGAAACACTATTTCACTGGGAGGGTGATGAAGCACTGGAATGCGTTCCCTAGGGAGGTGGTGGAATCTCCTTCCTGAGAGGTTTTTAAGGTCAGGCTTGACAAAGCCCTGGCTGGGATGATTTAGTTGGGGTTGCTCCTGCTTTGAGCAGGGGTTGGACGAGAACCTTATGAGGTCCCTTCCAGCCCTGATCTCCCATGAGATTATATTTGGGACTCTAACTAAAAAGTCAATTGCTGCTGCTTGCTTTCCATGTTGAGTCTTAACTCCACTAGTTCCAGCTGAATTTACCTTGGAAATTCCACATTATTAATAGGTTTATGGTCGTACCTAGTGGCCTGGCCCAGGAGCAGGGCTCCATTGTGCTAGGTACCATACAAACACAAAGTAAGACAGTTCTTGCCAAAAGCATGAAATCTAAATCTATACCACCTTAACCCTTATGTTTAAAACTATTCCATGAGATGAGGTTAAAAATTCCTGCTAAATACCATGACTACAACTCACTAGGATTATTCATTGAAAACCATGGTTTATGGGTATTATTGCATTTTCTTTGATAATCATTGGAATGCTTTATTAAAATAGAAAATTTATAAATACACAACTTCATTCATAGATTCCAAGGCCAGATGGGACCCCTGTGATCATCCATTCTGCCTTCTGTATAACACAGGCCAGAGAACGTCCCCAAAATAATTCCTAGAGCAGAGATTTTAGAAAGATCCAATCTTGATACAAAAATGTTCAGTGATGGGGAATCATAGAAGGTGAGGGTTGGAAGGGACCTCAGGAGGTCAACTAGTCCAACCCCCTGCTCAAAGCAGGACCAATCTCCAATTTTTGCCCCAGATCCCTAAATGGCCCCCTCAAAGATTGAACTCACAACCCTGGGTTTAGCAGGCCAGTGCTCAAACCACTGAGAATCCCCCATGACCCTTGGTAAATTGTTCCAATAGTTAATTACTCTCACTGCTGAAAATTTATACCACCTTTCCAGTCTGAATTTGTCTAGCTTCAACTTCCAGCCATTGGATCATGTTATACCTTTCTCTGTTATACTGAATAGCTCATCATTAAATGTTTCCTGTGTAGACACTTAGACTGTAATCAATTCACCATTAACCTTCTCTTTTGTTAATCTCAATAGATTGAGCTCTTGGAATCTATCACCATAAGGCATATTTTCCAATCCTTTAATCATTCTTGATGCTCTTCTCTCAACCTCTACAATTTATCAACATTCTTCTTAAATTCTGGCCACCAGAACTGACCCCAAGATTCCAGTAATTGTTGCACCAGTGCCAAATAGACAGGTAAATTAACCCCTCTACTCCTACTCGAGATTCCCCTGATTATGCATTCCAGGATTGCATGAGCTCTTCTTTGAGTGGGCACTCCACTTCAGATGCACATGAACCCCTCTGCCTTTGATCAAAGACTTTTGGTAGCAGTTCCCCTTTTGGCCTTACACATCCTCATGCCCTGTACCAAGGCTACATAGGGCTGCACAGATGAACCTTCCTCCATTCCTTCTCCTCTGCCTTTGGCCAGAAACAGAGTATACCTGTGGGCCTGTTCCCTCTTTTATTAGTATTTTAGCTTTGCTAGTTAGTTCTTAGTACCTTTATAGTTGCTGGAACATTTGTTTTCCCCTTTCTTCTTTTCTTTTCTAAAAAATATAATACACACACGTGTGCACTCAATTTTTTTCTTCTTCTCCTATTGAGGGGCTTGAACAAGTTTCTTCTGTTAGCGATGCTCGGTTCCCAGGGCTTTAAAAGGCACCTCTCTTGTTGAGAAGCAATCCCTGTAGTGAATGGCACTCCCAGTACTGCCCAGTAAGTGCAATGTACTGCCCTAGTCCTTCCAGTTACCTCCTTTAATGCCAATCTCCTTACAGGTTGTGATAGAGAGCCCTGAGTTCTTCTGGCTCCCGCCTCCAGCAGGGTGCAACTTCCTTATTTTCTTCTCATAGGAATTTATTTGGCGGTGCCTCCACCCTCCGCGCTCTTCCTGGCAGGATCACCACGGCAGCTCGGAAGGAAAATTCTAACCATGGGGCAACCTCCACTTACTTGCCAGATAGCTGGAGACTCCCAAGAAATACTACAAACACACAATAATATAATTCCTCTGTTCAATGTATAGACAGGGAGGAAATAGAACAGGGTGAAATATGACTCTCGGGGTCACTGATAATCCTCATGAATTTCCCCAGTCACATGACCGGATAGAGCAAGAGTAAAATTTAGCATCCCATCGGCACACGTACTTCATAGGGGCTTTTGATGTCCTGTGACCACGATATAGTCTAACTACAAGATGGTGACTCACAACTCCATGAAGCATTCTCGGGGTCTGAGATGAAGCTAGAGTCCTCAGCCACTGCGGAGGGCTGACAATCACAGCTGGCAGGCGTCCTCTTCTTGCAGGAGTCACGCTGCTTCTGTTCCCAGGATTTCCCCTCCCCACACAGAGATGCAGGGCTCAAGGTGCAGATTATAATAACTACTAAACTCCTAACTCCTGATCTCCTACCCTAGCACTCTGCTACTCTCACAGACAGCAGGCAGCCCTGAGCTAGCAGCCGGAGCAGAACCTGCCACTTGCGAACTGATTTATCTAGGAGCTGAAGGGCTAATTCAGTCGGGGGGGGGGGGCAAGTTTTCCCAACAAAACTCTACTCACTGGGTATCACCTTGAAGAGGCAAAGGCCCAGGCTGAGGGTGTTGCTGCCAGACCCCAGAGGACAGTTCTCAGGGGGCCTAATAAAATCTAAAAAAACCCAAACAATGCCTTGACCCTGAAAAAGGAGACGTGCCAGAGACTCCACGAAGTCCACTAGGAATTTTGCTATTACTATGGATTTTATGTGGAAGGTGCAGTATAAACCCCTAAAATAGGCTGTTTCTGCAAGGATTTCAAACTGATTCTCTCTCGTGGCATTTCTTTTCTCAAGCTGGGCAAGAGCAGGAGGTGCAGAGGCTAATGATGTGGGGGTATGTAACAGATATAGTTAACTAAACTGTTTTTGACTTAAAAAATAGTCAGGTTGGATTTGAGTTTTAAGTACTGGTCCTGCCAATGTTTTATCTGAACTTCTTTGGCATCCCTTAAAAAATGTCAATTAATTTTACTTCCCTTGGCTCTGGTTGATGTCCCACAGTACAGCAGATCTGCAACTGCAACACTGCTGTTATTGAGAGTTATTAGCATTAGTAACTATTGAAAAATAAATGTGTGATCCCTCTGTCATTCTTCCAGTTTTAATCCTTGCCTCCACTTTGTCACCAGAGGGCTGGCATATACATTCTATTGCAGTTAGCTAATTCCTCTCCCTTATTTTGTTAATAACAAGAAACCCAGGACAAACTTCTTGTTCGGAATTAAAAAGCTGATTGTCTACTTTTCCTTACAAGAGATCTTTCTTTCGCTGGTACCAGTGTATCAGTTAGCAGCTCCCAGAGCAAACTGATGTGGGATAACAGCTTGCTCAATGCACCCTTGTGTGTATTTCCACCCATTCCAGGAAATCAGGTCCAAGAATCAGCTGCCTCCTTCCTACCCCCACCTCCTCCTCAGGTCCTCATTGGCTGCTGCTGTTCTGCAGAAGTACAGCATCTTAGTCGATGGACTTCTCCACTCCCCCACAGATGAAATAAGAAGCTTCCCCCTGGCTGGCTTAGAAGACATTGCTCTGATTCCAGCAAAAAGTGGGCGCAGAAGGAAGGTGAGTAGCAGAAATAATATGATGGTCTTTAGAAGGAAATGACTTTGTTAGAGAATGCTAATTCTGAATATTTATGCAGGTGGGTCACATACCAACCTAATTATTGAAGTAGGAGTCATTTCCCTCCCTCCTCCCCCACTTTGGAACCTTCAAACCATTGGGGTTTTGTCAAACTAAACACTTAAAAAAAGAAAATAAGGGGAGGGAAGCAGCAGCCAAAACAGAGTTGTGGCACACTTTTCATGCATTTTGTTATGTCTGCAAATGTCGTCAAATTAGACAGTGATACAATATAATTGTGTCCGTCAAGCAATTTCCATTACAACATGAGCAGGGAATATTGATTTGAATAAATGAAGAGCAGTGCTAGTTACTGGCTGTAACTTTTCCAAAGAGCATTAATTGTATCTAATTTAAGCCGATTTGCCCGTTCTCTTGCTCCTGTGGCTGAGAAAGATTGGTCTATAATAGCAAGTTACATCATGAGGCAAGTCCTTAGCCTCTGATGTAGTAGCTCCTTTAAAGTCAATAGAGCAGTGCTGACTTGCACCAACAAGGATCTTCAAGCACCACGTTTTTTTCCCCAACAAAAGCAAAGTCTGCTTTTATTTTGTTAAGAAAGGTTTTAGTTAATATCAGAGTATTGTGAAACTTTGGGGGCTAATTTTTCTACATCTTTTCCCATTACCTCATAATCTTTTAAAGGGGGTTTATTATCTATATGAAATCTATAGGGAACCTGGAAATCAAATATTTATGTAACTTCAGGAGGTAAGGACATACATCACTTAAATTCTATCGCTAGCATAATAAATAGCATATCAGAAGCAAGTGCAGAATGAAGGGAAATGAGCATATTTGCTTGCAGTTAGTGCTTATGAAAACTGGATCTCATAATGTACTGTTGGTTCAGGGGGGATAGAGACGTTCAGTGATCGGGTAATAAAGACAGAGCCAACCAAATCTGAGAAGTAAAAGGAAGAAAAAGCTGGAGAATAGAGATGATTATAAAGAACTTTGTGAAGCACCGAAAACAAAAATGTACAAAATCCAGCAGACTAAAAATGGAGCAAATCAGCTGCTCAAAGACTCAACATAAGAAGTAACAATAACACATGCTAGGAACCAAGAAAACTCACATGTGTAAATAAATATTTACACCCTGCGGTTCCCCATTGCTATGTAATTGACTAAGACAGGTTCTTGTGATGTGACAAAAATTGTAAGCTTTTTCCTTTTGAAGTAAGAAAGGATGCTTTTTGATAAGACAAGGTCACACTAGAGTAAGAACCTAAATAGATAAATCTCAGCACAGGAAACTGGAACTGTGATTCTGCAGCAAATTTGGGGAAAAGATACTGTGTTGGAGACATATACACTGTTTTCATACTGAGGGCAGTATTTTCTATATGTGATTACAATCTCCAAAGGGTGAAAAAACCAGAACCTCAAAAAATACCATGATTGAGGTGATGTGTTGCTCAGGCAATTGGTGTAAGTCTGTAGTTCCCAATTTGTGGGCTGCAGACTGTGGTTCATGGAGCATTCCTGGTGGTCTACAGAAAGCTGGCGATTCCCACGGGGCTGGTTGTCCTTGTTCCCAGCTGTTAAATTGCACTTAAAAAAAGCTAAAAATCCATTAAATACTTTCCTATGTAAGCAATGGCCATAGTTGCCACGGGAATATGTTACATGGTCACAGATGGTTTCAAAGATTAGTTCTTTTGCAGTGTTAGTAGTCTCTGGATTGAACAGATTTTTATTTTAAAGAGCTAGGCCGGAAACTGAAACCTGGCCAAAATGTCTCTTTGAAAATAGTTTTGTGGCACTTCAGTTGACAAACTGTTTTTCAGACCTTCACTTTGCTGCTTTTTTCCCCTTTTTTCTGTCAGTGCTGACGATCTTCCCTGATATCTTGGGGTGAAATGCTTCTCTGTGGTTTGGTGGCCCATCCGCTGAAAAGCAGGGCAGTCAGTACCATTTTACAGAAAAAAATCAATTAATCATTGATGTATTGGTGAGGGTTGTGTATTTTGACTATGCCATATTTACGTCTTTTAACAGCCTGCTGGCTTTTATGTATTTATTGTACTCTGCCAAAGTGGAGATCAAGGTACAAAACTTGTGTTCACGCTTCAGGGAAGTCTGGGAATTTTCCGGACAGATAGCAGCTATTCCCTCCCCAACTCCCCACAGTGCACTCTTCTTGAATATAATGGTGAAATTGAAAAACCCCTATGTCTATGTTACCCAGTAATCCTCCCTTCAGAATGTTACTTTTTGTTAGTGATGCTGACGATAAGCTAATGAATATATGGACCATCTGGTACTGCAGGGTACCTCCTTTTTAACAATAGGTCTGTGCTGACTCTGTTTTGGCAATATACAAATATTCTGCTTGTTACCCAAGGTCTTAAAGTAAGAACAATGTCCCACACGTGTTTCCCAACCTTAAGCTACATCAATTGAAATAAGTTGATTTCAACTGGGAGGAGTGGTAGATACGCTGGAGGAGAGGGATAGGATACAGAAGGACCTAGACAAATTGGAGGATTGGGCCAAAAGAAATCTGATGAGGTTCAATAAGGATAAGTGCAGGGTCCTGCACTTAGGACGGAAGAACCCAATGCACAGCTACAGACTAGGGACCAAATGGCTAGGCAGCAGTTCTGCGGAAAAGGACCTAGGGGTGACAGTGGACGAGAAGCTGGATATGAGTCAGCAGTGTGCCCTTGTTGCCAAGAAGGCCAATGGCATTTTGGGATGTATAAGTAGGGGCATAGCGAGCAGATCGAGGGACGTGATCGTTCCCCTCTATTCGACATTGGTGAGGCCTCATCTGGAGTACTGTGTCCAGTTTTGGGCCCCACACTTCAAGAAGGATGTGGATAAATTGGAGAGAGTCCAGCGAAGGGCAACAAAAATGATTAGGGGTCTGGAACACATGAGTTATGAGGAGAGGCTGAGGGAGCTGGGATTGTTTAGCCTGCAGAAGAGAAGAATGAGGGGGGATTTGATAGCTGCGTTCAACTACCTGAAAGGGGGTTCCAAAGAGGATGGCTCTAGACTGTTCTCAATGGTAGCAGATGACAGAACGAGGAGTAATGGTCTCAAGTTGCAGTGGGGGAGGTTTAGATTGGATATTAGGAAAAACTTTTTCCCTAAGAGGGTGGTGAAACACTGGAATGCGTTACCTAGGGAGGTGGTAGAATCTCCTTCCTTAGAGGTTTTTAACAAAGCCCTGGCTGGGATGATTTAACTGGGAATTGGTCCTGCTTCGAGCAGGGGGTTGGACTAGATGACCTTCTGGGGTCCCTTCCAACCCTTATATTCTATGATTCTAAGTTTCCACAGATGGTCAGCTCTTTGCTGGCGTTATTTCCTTAAGTGCTCATTTGGGGCCTGATCCAAAGCCCACTGAAATTTATTGGCATCTTTCCATTGACTTCCATGGGCTTTGGATCAGGCCCTTGTGGCATAACACTTTTGGGCCAAGGGTTGTATAGTTGCACAGAGAAGGCAGAAAGGCGTTTAAACCCCCCACACGCTGAGCTTAACATGGTGTTTCCTCCCAATCCCTTTCATTTTAGGCCAGTGCCACTGTAACAATGTCTGCTCTGGAAAAGGCCATGATTGCCATCATTGAAGCTTTCCACCAGTACTCGGGAAAGGAGGGAGACAAACACAAGCTGAAGAAATCTGAATTAAAGGAGCTCATTAACAATGAGCTCCCCCATTTTTTAGGCGTGAGTATTGCCTTTTGAACAATGAATTGCCCTTTACTCTATTTTGTACCAAATGTCGAGATGCCTGAAGATGTTTACTGTAGCCTTCAACAGTTCTCAGCGCTCATGTTGTTTGTTGAAATAGTTTTAGCTAGCAGGCTGCTTCCCGTGGCAATGGGAACAGTACATATACTCAAGCTGTGACTGTCAAAGGGCTCAGTGCAATGGACTGCTTCCAGTACTTCAGCCTTTGTCTTGTGCTATGTTTCTTGGGGGTAGGGAAGCGACTGTCCTGATTTAATGGCTACTCAGAGGGTGGGCAATAAAAGGGAGTTAGCTCATTCAGAAGGCAAAGCATATCCCCTCTGGATGGCAGGCGGCTCTCTCTCCGTGGAATTCTCTTTTTGCTTTTCTTGTGTATTTCCCAGGTGCTTATATGTGAGGGGCCAGACTGTACGTATCAAGGTCCAGTCACCTGTGGAGGAAAGCACAAGGGCCCAGATCCCCAAATTTAGGTACCTAAATTGCAGCTTTAGTTGCTCCTCTGATCCACAAAATCCCTGCTCAGCTGATGCCCAGTCCTATAGATGCCTAAATTTGTACTCTAAAAGCCCCCTAGGTACCAATGTTTTTGCCCCTGTGCATGTGCACTGCTATTTCAGGCAGGCGTCTGGATGCCTGTCTCATGCCTAAGCCCCAGCACCATGCTCGAACCCAACGGAGGGAGGTGTTGCTCACCTGTAGGGGTGCTCAGAGCATGCATAACTCCACACATGTGGCAGGAGGAAGAGGCAGGGACTCCCTTCTGACCTTTAGCGCAGTGGTTAGGGCACTTGCCTGAGACCCAGCTTAGTTCCAACCTCTGTCTGAAGAAGAGAAGGCATTTGAACAGGGGTTTCCCATGTCTCAGGCGAGTGCCATAACCCCTGGATTATAGTCACTCTCTCTGGCCCAGTGCATACTGTATTTAGTCATTGATACACAGTGGAACAGCTTCAAGATTGAGAGAGCCCCAGGTGAGAATATCTCCTTGTCCAGTGGTTAGAAAGCAGAGGTGGGAAACTGCTGTTCAAATCCCTTCTCCTCATCAGCTGGGGGTTGGAAATCAACTGGGGTCTCCCACATTCCAGCTGAGTGCTCTAACCACTGGGCTAAAGCTAAGGGAGGTGTCCACCACCGCTCTCTCCACCCTTCTGTTTGGTGTGGAGTTAGGTGTGCACCAGGGCCATTCTCGCAAGAAACAGCTTATGCTGACTCCAGGAGAGGGTTCTGGCTGTGGATCCAAAGCTGAGGTAGGAGCCTCCCTCCAGCCTGATTTAGCCATGACCCAAAATCCATTTGAATGACAAAAAAAGAAATAGTCACTTCATGGTGACTTGCCTGCCTGGTGTGAATGTTGGGGAATCTCTCGAGACATCTAGATAGACTTATGTGTAGTGCTGGGGAGGAGCCGGTGGTCATGGTACATGTAGGTACCAACGACATGGGGAAGGATAGGAGAGAGGTCCTGGAGGCCAAATTTAGGCTCCTAGGTAAGAAATTGAAGTCCAGGACCTCCATGGTCACATTCTCTGAAATGCTCCCAGTTCCATGCACAGGGCCAGTTAGACAGGCAGAACTGCAGGGTCTCAGAGTGTGGATGAGATAATGGTGTAGGGAGGAGGGGTTTAGATTTATTAGGAATTGGGGAAGCTTTTGGGAGAGGAGGAGCCTATACAGGAAGGATGGGCTCCACCTAAACCAAAATGGGACCAGATTGCTGGCGCTTAAAATTAAAGAGGTTGTAGAACAGTTTTTTAAACTAAGGGCTAGGGGAAAGCAGACAGGTGCGGAGGAGCGTGTGGTTTGGACATCCCTTAGGAGGAGAGGATGGAAAATGATAAAATACAGGGAGGATCTGATGAGAAACAGTCAAATGATAAAAAGTCCCATTCAATTACATCATGTGGGGGACAGCCAAAAAATGACAAGTTTTTAAAATGCTTATATACCAATGTTAGAAGTCTAAATATTAAGATGGTGAACTAGAGTGCCCCGTATTAAATGAGGATATTGATATAACAGGCATCACAGAAACCTGGTGGAATGAGGATAATCAATGGGACACAGTAATACCAGGGTACAAAATATATCAGAAGGACAGAACAGGTCGTGCTGGTGGGGGAGTGGCACTGTATGTGAAAGAAAGCGTAGAATCAAATGAAGTAAAAATTTTAAATTAACTAAATCGTACTATAGAATCTCTATGAATAGTAATTCCATGCCTGTGTCGTAATGTGTGTCCTTGTATTAAAGATCCTGGGAAGACATGATTCTTCTTTGCAGACCCAGAATATTTGTATTGAATAATAGCCAAATTGTAGCCCATGTGTCGATCATTTAAGAATGAGCTTCTTTTCTGCTGTTACAGCATTTCCAGTCAGATTAGATTTAAATGTCCACCACCTTAATCTTTCCACGGAAAAACAAACCGTTATTCCAAAGTGGTTTTACATATTGGTCAATGCAGTAAACAAAAGTGGCAGACCATTCCTACTTCATGTGGGTCTCTGTTGCAAGGAAACTGAATAAGGAACCACAGTCCTGTGCCAATGCTTGGAAGGCAACATGGAAAACAGATACATTACGAAAGGGAAACTTCTTTGGATGTGTTTTGAATAAACACTGAATGATGAGACTACCCAGTATGGTGACATCTACTGTACTGTCTATTAGCTCCATTTGAAGACAACCAGATTACGAACCAGGACTCCTAAATCCTATTCACAGCCCTATCCCTTGTTCACCAGCTTTAACTGCTCTTTCTTGTTTTGGTTAGGAAATTAAAGATCAGGAGACAGTGGATAAGGTGATGGAGACACTGGATGCCGATGGTGACGCTGAATGCGACTTCCAGGAATTTGTAGCCTTCATTGCCATGGTCACTTCAGCTTGTCATGAGTTCTTTGAACATGAGTGAAACATCAGAGAAGCAACCAAGAACCTGCTGTGTGTGATTTTGAAGCTAGAATATGAATTCTAATTTAGAGATACCAAGCCGGTTTAGGGGCTACTAGGAGTGAGTCTGCTAATCCTAAGTAGTTTTAGTAAGATCAGTGTGCTTTGTGAATGGAAACATATAAATGTCTTTTAAAGGGCTGTTTGCCAGTGCTTGCCTAGCTCTTAAGCAGCATGTGTATTATACCTTATCTTTAACTAGCGTGCACAGCATTCTCCTGCTATGTGCCTAGATATATACACAGATTCAGATGCAAGTAGATAGACCTTCCAAAGTCATCCAAGTTTTATTGTAAAGGTTGTTTTTGTTTTTGTTTTTTTTAAAAAGGGGGGTTAGTAAGTAATAAAGGGACTGGAGAACAGAGACCTAATCGAAAGCTCATTGAACTAAATGGCAAGACTTCTTCTGACTTCAGTGAGCTTTGAATCAGACTCAGTGGGCAATACGAATGGTGAAAGAACAATAGATAGGATGCTCGCTAATTACTCAGTGGCCACGCTACACTTGCATGAGCATTTTCATTTCTCAGCAGCTTATTTATCTTCAGCAGTATTGTTTTTAAAAGGCATAGCAGGTAACATTCTAGGCTTTTTCTCTTATTTTTAACTCTTCCTACTGTTTAACTACTAGCAGAAATAGGTGCTGGGGCACTCAGGGCACATAAACCTACTGTGATGATGAGAGAGCTGAAAAAAATAGGCTCGAGACAGCGGTACATTTAGACAGTGCCCCCAGTATAAAGTTACCCTGACTGATCGCTGGGAAGGAAGGAATGAAAAACACTATCACGCTACTGTTGTGGGCTAGTAATATAGCTACTGGATTGGGTTTTGTGTTGGTGGTGGGTCCTTGTACCCCTTTCAGAGATCCAGGAACCTCAGATATCCTTCACCCATTTTAACCATTATAAAAATCCTGCTCCACTGATCCTGACTGGTCAGAACAAGATGTACATCTCCACGGGCCATCTCCGAATACTGACTCTCTAGACTAAGGCTTGGTCTACACGTGGAAGTTATATTGGCATAGCTCCCTCTTTCAGGGGTGTGAAAACTGCCATACCCCCCCGCGTAGATACAGCTGTGTTGACAGAAGAGCGCTGCTTCCTTTGCTGCAGCTAATGTTCGGGGAGGTGATATTCCTATACCTACAGAAACCCCCCTGCGGGGTCTCCATTACAGGGCTCTGCTGCACAGTTTATGCTGATACAGTCTCCATGGTGTAGACATACCCTAACGTTCCAAATGTGCTACTGAATTCATGGTGCAAGCAAGCAAACTCAGCTCAAAAGAGTCGGCCACAATTTAAATTTCCCCATAGCTCAGCAGCGGGTCAGTGTTAAACTTTAACTCTGGTCTAATGAATATTGAACAGTAAAAAATTAAATTAAATTAGGGAGTCACTTTAAGTTTGCCAGTATGATATTATCTGGATGGCCTTGATTTCCATATTAAATATGTGTATATATAATTTCTGGGATGTTTAGAAATAGTGTTTCAAATTCTAAATTTTATATTTGGATATAAAGAATGCAGAGTGAGGTTATCACTTTATACATTTTAAATGTTCCATAATTTGATTTTACAAAATGCCCTATGTTTTATGGAAATGAAGCTATCTTTTCTATAGTTCCTTGCTAAGAACATGCATGTAGGAAAGGTACTGCCCTACATTCGGATTCAAATTAAAGCAGCAGCTCTAACCAAGTGATTGTGGGGTTTATTTTTAAGTTCAGTTCTTTAGAAAAAAGTAAATTCTCATTCAGTGTTCCCACCATCATATTTTTGACATCTTTGGGAATTTTTGGTTCTATTATTTTTCAGCCCTTTTGATTGCTAATGAAGGCCCCGATCCTGCAGCAGGATCTACGTGGGTGCAGCCCCGCTAAAAGTTATTTATCAGTCAGTTTCTGAGAGTAGGATACGTGTGTCTCCCCCTCATTAACTCAGTTTGGGTTTTGTCTCCCTCAAGTGGCTGGTCCCATACAAGGCCTTTGAGTCTGTTACAGGCTCCAGCTACCAGCTGGATTTACTCATTTAGCTCAAGCAGTAGCAGTTCATGTGTGACCCTTTTTAGGTGAGAGGGTTCCGGGTCAGTCCTTGCTGCTGACCGTGGCAGGCAGTTGTCACAAATGGTGAGCTGGGAAATGCATGGTGATGGATCACTGATGTGTGGGGCATCAGACCCTCCAAAATAGCAGTTCTGTCAATCCTTCCAGCCTCAGGTTAGGCATTGTCCATAAAGTACCAAAAACCCAGCTGAGGGACCATTACAACCCTTTCAGTGGTAACATCTGTCTCTATCTACAATGTTTACAATAGTGTTCCTAGACAGTAAGAATTGAAGGTATTATACGTTCATACCCCTGCAGGTACTGTGTGACTGATAAAGTACCACGTCAGCAGAACAGGTGCTCTCTGGGGTAATTGTTCTCTCAATTTGCATGAACTGGGAAAGAGAATCAATGCAATTAATATGTAGAGACCTCTGAGTACCACATGCAGCTATAATAAATTCCTAGTAAAACCAGCACCTAAATACAACCCTATACAGCCACATCAGGGTTGAAATGCACAAACTGGTGAGCGGGGCATTGCAAGACTAAACAGGTTAGGACCTTCCAAAAATGGTTCAATTGCATATTATACTAGTGGGGGAAAACATCTAATCCAGATTTGCTGGAGTGGCTGAGACGTGCTCAGGGATGCTTCACCTGCCACGGAGCGGCCAATGGCCCCCCAGGCCTTTACAGCATCAGTAGAACAGTCACAATCCCTTTTGCTTGGCCATGCCCCCTATGCTTGGTGGAGAGGGATGGCCTAGGAGCTGCATCACCAATCATATGGCACCTGGGAATTCCCCTGGATGCCAGTTACTCTCGCTTTGGTTGCACTGGAGGGGTGCAAACCAGACTTAGAGTACGAACACTGATCCTATCTGAATAATTGTTGCTAATGAGGTGTTTCCCACTCTAGACCTGATATTGTCAGCAGTCTTCCCTTCATTCTTTTTGACTCTTCAAATTAAAATAACCCTAAAAAGAAAATGCTATGCTGGTAGGAGCATTAATTACGTGTTAGCCCTCTTTACCCACCCTTCCTGGGAGGCGGACAGGGCATTGACTGTGAATTAGGAGCCTAGACTTACAAGCAAGTCCCTTAGCCTTTCTGTGCCTCAGTTTCCTTGTCTATAATAACTGAGTCTCACCACACTTGACTAATGCATGTGAGAGATACAACCCCTGCCAGCGGAGCAGCTTGGTAAGACTGTGGGACGTTAACAGAGGTCTGGACTGTGGGGTATTTCTTAGAAAGAGATGTCTTATGCAAACAAGCCACCTAAATAGAAGGTTCTGCTGAGTAGGTCACTCGGCTGCTTTGTAAAAAGGTTCTGAACGTTCAGACAGTTGAGCGAGCTGACTGATTTGTACTGTTTGACTGCAGTGCTGGCTAGAGCTGCAAGAATAAATAAGAATCACACCAACATGGGGAAGAACAGTGACTTCACAGTTCTCAGCCACTGCTAACAAACTCCTGCTCTGTAAGTTTAAACTAGTTTTTCAAACCACTGGGAAAATGGAAAGAGAGCAGAATCCTCTGTGCAATGTCCGAGTATGTTTTCAGCAAGCAGTGGTAGCAGACATTTCCATTGCTATGGTGCCCTATTCGTCGAACAGAAGGGCTTTGATCCTTGCACTAACGGTGACAAAATAAAGTAGGCAGAAAATTGGATTCTCCAAGGAGGGTTTTCAATCCTTGGAGCAAAACACCAAGAACCAGACTAAATAAATCACGTACAGCATGGCTGCTTTAGGACAGCAGGCTGGCTGGGGGCTGGATCAGTGGACTGTGTTTTCCTCTGTTAGAGAGGGGAGAGGTAACGTCTTTTGCGAGACCAACTTCTGTTGAGACAAGCATTTGAGCCACCCAGCGCTCTTCTTCCGAGGACAACCATTCAGATTTTCCACTGGTACCTTGAAAATTGTGCAGGCACTTTCCATTGATTGAAAGGAGAGAACTGGTGGGGCCTCTGAAGAAGCCTGTCTCGTCAGGAACAGGATAATGTTACTTGGAGGGGGTCTGGGAGGAAGCCCTCAGCCAGGCACCAGACGTGCCCAGGAAGGGCAGGCCCCAGACAGCTCCCAGCTGAGGGTGAAAGGCTCTAGCCCATGAGGCCCAGCTCAGCTCTCCTCACACTTCTGGGTGGGTGAGCACAAACCCAGCACTGACCCTACTGCCCGGCTGGGCCCCTGCAGCCCCAGCTCCCGCTGCCCGTCAGAACTGGCTCTGGCTACACCGAGGAGCAGGACCCAGGGGTAAAGGTCACTCACGTCAAATCCCAGAAGGCAGGTGGGGAATCGCAGCAGGGCGGTGCTGCTCCTCATGGCCCTGGCTCTCCCTTGGCTCCGGACTGGATCCAGAAGTCGACGTGCTGTGGGAGAAGGAGGCAGGTCATGGTCAATGTTCTGTACCAGTGAGCCCCTTCCCCTCGCCCACCCCCGGGGCTAATCCTCAGGGGCCAGGGTGGAATATGGGACTTCCTGAGAGAAGAGCCTTAGAAGGGCTTTTGCTCCTCTCAGGATTCGGAGCATGTCCTTTGGGTTTTGTCCCACTTCATCAGAGCCTGGGACGATACATGGTCAGGCATTGTGGACCCATCCCCTGCCTCCATCATGAGGCAGGGGTTCACAATCCCTGCCCACATCCACAGCTCTCTGGGTGATGGGGCTGAGAGGAGAGATTCACCAGCTTGTTTGCTGCTCCCTTAAACCCGTTTCTTTAAGGGACTAAGTCATGGAACAGGGTGGGCTGCCCCCAGCCCCGTCTCCTCCCTAACTGAGCCAGATGACCCAGTGGCTTGCTGCTGCTCATGCTCTGCCGGCTATTACACACACACACTCTGGGAAGGGCAGGGGATGTTCACAAAGCAAGAGACTGTCCTATAAACACAATATCCTTTTTTAAAATGTCATGATCTTGGGGCCAATCTCATGATTTTGGGGAGTCTGATTCATGACATTTGCTCTCTGAAAATTGGCCGGACTGGGCTCCAGAAGGCCTCTCCCCACTCCCTAGGGTAATTCCCTGCCTTGGCTCATGTTCCGTTTTCACCCCAAGTGGGTTCAGGGGTTTGCAGTTGCCTCTGATGGTTTCCACTGATAGACTTGGGGTGGAGCAAGGCTACACAGGTAAGCCTTGCATTACCTCACCGGCTATCAGGGGAGGGGAGACAACATAAGAACGGCCATACTGGGTTAGACCAAAGGTCCATGTGGCCCAGTATCCTGTCTTCTGACAGTGGCCAATGCCAGGTGCCCCAGAGGGAATGAACATATCACCCTTCTGCCAGGTGGAGCCAACCGCAACTAGAGCCAGGTTCAATATCTAGGGGTCCTTTCCATTGATACAACACAGAACCGGCTTGAGCCCCCACCCCGTAACCTGGGAAATTTACACATCAGCCCTGGGCACCTGTGCGAGGCAATACTTCCCCACTCGCAAGCACAGAGTCTGAGTGTAGAAAAGACTTGTAATTAAAAGAGGGAAGTAACTCGCGTTAATTTGGGGAAACACCACAAACAGGATTTATAAACATAAACCATGAGTAAAAGACCCACCCCCAAGTAGGTTGGGCAGTGTCCTTTTCCCCTCAGGTTCTTAAGTCCAGCAACCCAAAAGTCCCTTTCATGTGCCCAACCCTTCTCTGCACCCCACTCACAGTTGTTGTCCTTGGTCAGCACAGGCCCAGAGTCCAGAGGTGCATGTGCAGAATTCACCACCCCCGCCAGGGGCAGGATAAAGAGGGACCAAACTCACAAGGCCCCTCTCTGCCAGCTACCCAGCTGGCCACTCACGCTGGCTGCCGGCTCACCGTGCCTCTCCACCAGCTGCCCTGCTAGCCGCTCACTGCGCCTCTCCACCGCACCAGACACTCATTCATCAGCTGATTATCAGTCACCTTCTGCTACCACCTGCCTCTCTGCTGGGACCACTGCACAGCACTCTTACTAATTTTTAGCTCTTTGTAGGCCGGGAAGATGCACTGCCCCCTCTCAAAATGATTTCAGCTCTCAGTGATTTTTTTAGCTTTTTGTCGGCTGGCAGAAACACAGTCCTATCACAACTGATTTCAGCTCCGATTAGCTCCTAATAAAGTCTATTTACTTGTATTATTTGAACAGTGGGAAAGAACAGATTACACCAGGACTCTGCAGGATGTGCAACCCCTTAACTAAAAACACATATCCCCACCCTCTCTCACTTTCATGACATTCGAGCCCCAGACCTAACAAGGTTCTTTCAACTGAGGGCAACAGGTTAAGCACAGTCCTGCTTTCCTGTATTCCTACAATAATTACAACATTGGTAACCATATTTCACTACCCTGCATTCAGTACTAAGGTGATTTGTACCCAACACCAGCCAAAGTTGATCACTTTTTGCTCAGTATGTAAGCAGAGCAGGAGCAACCTGTGTTTACATAAACACACCCAAGTCTCTCCCCCTCCCAACTAGCTGTCAGGGAAGCATTCATTCAGATCCTGCTTACAAACAGAACAGATAATCATCAAGTGATCCATCCCCTGTTGCCCATTCCCAGCTTCTGGCAAACAGATGCTAGGGACACCATCCCTGCCCATCCTGGCTAATAGCCATTGAGTGACCTATCCTCCGTGAACTGTAGTTCCTTTTTGAACCCTGTTATA